GGCAGGCTTCGCTACAGAACATCCAAGGGGCCATCTGGCCTTGCAGAGGCCCGCTGTTCTGCCAAGACTTCATGCCCTTGGCTAGGCCTGCTAACGCTGAGATTCAGTCAGAGGCAACGGCGCTGCCGCGCGCCTGTGGTGTGTGGCAACGCCAGCTGCAAGTCGAACTTCACGCGCTGCGCGGCCGCGAGCGCGCGTTACTCCGCCGCTGGTAGAGAGAGTTGCGAGCTTGCTGCATGTTTGCTCGTGGCACTTCGGGGAAAGTCTGGCATCAATGTATCTTCTAGGCTAAACTATTGAGCTGCACAATTAGGCAACGTGCCTGAGTTGCAGGAATTCTTCAAGAGCCCCTAGTTCCAGTCATTCGTGATGGGGGCGCGGCCCGGTGCGGGCCGATTTTGCTTGGCTGTGACACCGGAATCGTGGATTCGCCAGCAACACTTGGATCATCGCAGCCGAGAGGGAAAGAAGCGGCGCGCTGTCATAATTGCTTTATGGAAACATCACAGCTGCCCCGCTTCAACGTGAAGACTAGTCTCGAGCCAGAAGTAACACGGCCCTTTTGTTCTTGCCCGTATCGGCCGGGCTGTAGCACAACGACAATGATAATCCCCGAAACATGACCTGTTCTTTGCGTGCTTGCAAATCCCGATGTTTTGCACTGAGTTCTCGCGGTTGGTTTTTTGCTGAGATGTCCCGTCCCTCGTTTTGTTTGCTCTGCCATTGCGCAGCTTTCGCTAAGGCGTCGCAGTACTACTTTGCACTCTGTGCTGACAAACGCCAAACGGCCGGTGAACAGCAAACCCTCTTAGAGCCCGCCGCAAACTGCGAACCGGCTTGGCGCGGCGTACTCGTAGTTGGAAAGAGCAGCTTGGATTGGACGGATGGCAGTGCGACAGGTTCCTGTGGCGCACAAGGCACAACTGTCACACACGTGAGCCCTGCGTGCTTGGCGGCTGTCCGCCTTGCCTTTGAAATAGTTTCACCCCTATTTGGAGCCGCAGCTGCCTTCGCCTCTTTTTTGGCGGCCGGCCCTTGGCCCTCATCCTTGGCCTTGAGCTTTTTCGGAGCGATTGCAGGAGAGGAGGCAAGACACTAGGCTGACTGTCAAGCTTCCAAAAGAACGAACAAGTTTTGAAGGGCTGAGTTCGCCTGCAAAAATCTCATGGCCGGCATGCAGGCAAGTTGCGCGGGGTCTTTCCCCGTGGCTGGGAACATAGCTTGCCTGCCACTGCAAGCTGCAACCAGCCAAGCTTGAGAGCAGCAAAAGCGAGCTACCCCCCTTCTGGAAGCCCAAAGTCATTCCAAAATGCGTTTTTAGTTGAGAATTTAGTACTGGCAATGCTCAGTCTAGCCCTGGCAATACTGATTACAATATTCGCCATATCAGATTGGGTACTGCGACCACTAGGCTTTTCCGGGCCATGAGCCGTAGCAAAAGTTTCTATCTTCCGCAAGGCCTGAAAAACACAGGGCTTGCACAAAGATAGAAACTTCTGACCGCAGAGTTTCTATCTTTGCGCCCGGCCGCCAAAACCTGCGGAGGGTTGATCCCGTTCTCACACGAATAGTAAGCTACATTGCGGCAATACAAGTTTAGTACTGGCAATGCTAAATTTAGCACTTGCAACGCTAAGGGGGCACAATACAAATTTTGTACTGGCAATCCTCAATTTAGTACCTGCAGGCAAATAATTTGACTCTTCCGGGCCATGAGCCGTACCAAAAGTGTTTTATCTTTCCGCAAGGCCTGGAAACACAAGGCTTGCACAAGGATAGAAACTTTTGGGAAGCCCTGTCCGACCTGCAGAGGGGTGATTGGTGGACTCGCAGAGCTACCCCCCCTTCTGGAAGCCCAAGATCATTCCAAATTGTGTTTTTTTTATTAAGGAGTTTAAACAATTCAGTTCCTTGCTAAAAATTAAGTACTGGCAATGCTCAGTCTAGTCCTAGCAATACTAAATTCAATACTCGCAAAAATTAGATTTTGCAGTCAACCACTAGACTCTTCCGGGCCATGAGCCGTAGCAAAAGTTTCTATCTTGCCGCAAAGCCTGAAAAACACAGGGCTTGCACAAAGATAGAAACTGTTGGCCGGAGAGTTACTATTTTTCCGCGGGGCCACCAAAACCTGCAGAGGGTTGATTCGGTTCTCGCGCGAATACTGAATTAAAGAGCGGCAATAGAAAATTTGTACTGGCAATGCTGGATTTAGTACTTGCAACACCGAGGAGACACACAATTAAGTACTGGCAAAGCTCAGTCTAGTACTGGCAATACTAAATTTAGTATGGCAATCCTCAATTTAGCACTGCAAGCAAAACGTTTGACTCTTCCGGGCCACGAGCCGTAGCAGCAGTTTCTATCTTGCCACATGGCCTGAAAAACACAGCGCTTGCGCAAAGATAGAAACTTTTGACCGGAGAGTTTCTATCTTTGCGCGGGGCCGCCAAAACCTGCAAAGGGACGGCCTCTAGAGATATCCTCCGCACCTTGGATCTCTGGATGTGGGCGTGCCGGACTACACCGGCAGTCATGATCCCCAGCAATTCCGGATACCCCGGGTCGCGTCGCTCCATTGCCGCCCTCAATTTGCGTTGATTCCGTTTTCGCACGAATATTCAATTTAGCAGCGGCGACACAACATTTTGTACTTGTTTGGACTTCTCGAAAACGACTTTCCTATTCAGAGCACGTCGTTTTACAAGTCTGCCCGGCTTGCCCGGCTTTCCCAAAAAAGTTTCCATCTTGTTGCGGAAGGGTTTCTATCTTGTCCGGCTTTGCCAAAAAAAGTTTCTATCCTCTCCAGCAACGTTATAAACTTAAGGGCTGCCCACGTGGGCCAGGAAAGGTGGCCAGCGCAAACCCTGCAAAACACCCTTCGGCTGGCGCGTTGCCCTTACTGTCTTTGCGCCTTGGTGTCTTCCACGCTAAAAACCAAACGGTTGCTGAAACCGCAAAGGTACATGAAGACATTGCCAAAATTGATTGAACGCAGCAGCCCCTCCGCGCATCACTGGTGAAAACTGCCTACTGCGGCTTCGTCTCAGGGCAAGAACCGGGTCAGCAGCAACTCGGGAGCCAAGACATGGCGCCATGACACGGAGCTCACGATCATAGCTCGCTCACACGCTGTCTTGGCGACCCGCGCGCGGTGGCAGCACTTTACTGGCCTATCAGAACAGAACGCTCTAAAAGGGCTGCAGCCGAAAGATCGCTCAAATCCTGTGAGGTGCTTTAGTTGCCTTTCTCCAGCTGGCGCTCGATGCTGCATGTTGTCCTTGTAATGCAGTGACCGAGCAATCTCAACATGGCTCCCATGGCAAGTACCCAGATTCAATTGGACCGGCTCTGTTAACTGCTCGGGCTCCTATGGCCTACAAAGGGCCAGGTGGGGGATTTGACATTGCTGGATTTCATTCTCACAGCTGGATTTCCTTTGCCTAGACTGACGCTTCTACAGACCTTGGCTCGGGCTTTGGCCAGCCTTTGCTAGCCTATCGGTTGGGTGCGCACAGGCAAGTGCCGTCAATCTGCACGCAGACTGCAACTGCATCCCTACATGTTCGCTGCGTACCCTAACTGCCGCGGCGAAAGCCTTCGTGGTGGACACAGTAGACATGAGCTTCTCCAGCACGCTGGCGCAGGGCGATCTCCTGAACTTCTTGACTTGATATTGCGGCGTCTTCAAGCCGGCTGCTTGCCACTGAACTTTCTGCTTGAAGACTTCAACCCATTCAGCATACTGTTGCTCCAGGAGGTTCCAGGGGTTTTGGACTGCCTCATTCACTCCACTCCCAATTACAGTCTTACACGATGCCAGAGTTAGAGGAGTGGATGGTCGACAAGTCAGACACCACCTGTGAATCTGTGAGGAAAGCTTCAGGCTTTCAGTATACCGCGCGCCTTGGTCTTACCCTGCCCTGGCTGCCTGGACCTCACAGACAGGCTTGTTTTCACATAACTGAAGCTTGCGCGCTGCCTGGCTCAATGCTTAAATGGTTCAGAACGAGCTGCCCAGCCCATTCGTGGCATTCCCAGAGCAGCCCATCACGCCTGCTTGCGCCTGCGCCTGCCACACTCTCTATGGCCCGGATGCCCTTGCCAGCAACTTTGTGTTTCGTAACGTTGCGCTGGCGCGAACCAGACAGAACGTCATGATCGCGACTCTCGACCACCTGCCCATTTTCCCCGCCTGAAACCCGCCCAAACGCAAAGGCAACACTCTCACTCCTACCAACAAAAGTCATAGTGCCAAAGCAGCAGAGCCGAAGCGTTTGATGTCTTCCTGCTCCTTGGGCTTCCGCAGTTGAGAGCCTCTGGAATGTGGGCCTGCAGCTGCAATGCTCTTCGCGTACTGCTTCCGCGCTTCAAACGAACGATTTTGCAGCCGGAGCTGCGGGAGAGCGCTTCGCGTGCGACTTTGCCAGTCGCAGAATGCCGCGCTGGAATCCGGCCGTCAACACACAAACCCAAAGATCGGCGCGGCGCCGCAGCGAGGCGAGGTTGCAGTTTTGAAGAAGGTCCGTTTCACGTGAGGCAGCTTTTTGCGGGCTTTAGGGCTCCGATTGTCCAAGTGTCGTACCCTGACCCGACAAGAAGACATCCACCGCATAGCAACCCGGCCATCAAAAACATTCACTTTGATCTTAATCAAAACACACAGACACACAGACACACACATACACACACACACATTGTTTAGCGCGAGGCTTCCTCAAAACAACACAGCGCACGCCTTTGCTGTATAGTGTCCCTCCTGGGAAAAGCCGAGCGGACGGTGCCACGGCGAGAGCGCCCCGCCGGCGCGAGCCACAGTTTCACGCGAGATTGTTACAAGGGCTAACGCTTTGAGCACGAACCTTCGAACTTAGACCAATTTGTTTATGTAATGGTGGTGAGACGACACTGAAACAACAGAAGACCTCGCAACCCGGTTGTACGGGGGACAAAGGCCTATTTTAGTTCGTGTTAGTGGGCTGGGTTCTGCCTCAGCGAAGGTTTTGCTCACTGGTGGCCTGGCGGAGGTCGTGCTTTGGCCGCAACGCGGGTTATTGACGCCCATGTTTGGAATTGTCCAAAAGTGCACAATGCCGCCAGAGAGTGTGGGGCAGCAGCTGCTTGAGATGCTGCCGTGTTGCTGTTGCGACCCAGGAGCGCTGGAGACCCCTCCCTCTCTTGAGTCGCCCCACTGCTACCCCTGTCCAAAGGTCCTAGGGAGCGCAACGACTATGCTGTAGATGTTGCGTGAGGTTGAAGGTCGGTTCGCGCAGGCCATGGCAACATTGCAGCTGCAGATGCGATGTGCCCAGCGAGCGTGAAAGAGCAAAGCGCCGCAAAAAGCATGTGTTGAGAGTGGAACACGGCTGTTGCAGCTTTCGCTACGTTTAGCTTAAGCCAGTATAGCCGACCGAAGTGTCGTGGCATGAAATGGCATAACATGCAATTCAGGAGCCCGTGCTGGCTGCCAATTCAGACATGTCTTATCGGCTGTGGAATGTTGCTGGCAACAGGCCTTTGCCCTGTGCCAAGCATCTTAGTGCCGGCTTCAGCCTGACCTAGAACGATCTTTTGCCAGAGCCATGGGCCGGAAAATCTGGCTTCTGCTGCTTGCCCCAAGCCTTGCTTGGATAGGCAGGGGGGCACAAAGGGAAACCGTGCGAGCCGGGTGGCTTGCGTTCGCAGGACTGTGCCCTCGCGCGCGAAGGCCTAGGCGGAACAGCCAAGACTTCGCCTGTGAATGAACGGGTTGTGTTGGCAGTCTCCCCTTGGCGACGCTGAAGTCATCCGAGGTTTGGCAATGCGAATTGTCCTTGCGAAGCTCTCCACATGTTGGCATCGCTCATAGCCCTAGCAGGAAAGTTTGAAAGTCTGTTCGGCCACACGCCGCTGTTGAGGCATTTCAGTATACTGCAATGTTCACTTACTAGACGCCCATTGATTGCTTCAGGCGGCAGGTTGCCGTCCGAGGGGCGACAGTGGACGTGCCGCCGCCGCCTAGCCAGGCGAGCGAAGGAGGCGGGCCACTTAATTGAAGCGAAGGGTTGACAGCGTCAACCAAGAGTATGCTCGTAGCTGCGAAGATGCCCTAAGATAGCATCGAGTAACATTGTGTCCAGGAGGAGGCGACGGGTATGAGATTCGATTTGTGGACAATCAGGCCGGAAGTCACCAGCTTGCGCCGTGCTTTGGGACCTTGGCTGGCTGTGTTCGTTCTTGTGTGCTTTTTCAGGAGCGTCAGCGGATCGCGCAGCAATGGTTGACCGTGGCTTCGCAGGAGGATGGAATGAATGACCAAGCTGCTGTGCAGTGCCACAGTTCGAGTTCTGGCAAGGAGCGCGAAGTCCTGGAGCAGAAGGCAGGGGCGTGTTGCGCCTGGAGAGCTGACGCTTCGCTTTGAAATGACTCATTTGTGAGTACCGTCTACTGGTAAAACTCGAAGAAGCAGGCGCGTGCATGTTGGATAGCATGTCGCCAATCATATTCTTGCGCATCCAACATCCCCTTCTGGGATTGCTCGGGGGAGGAAGCATGGTAGCGGAGGCTGGCCGACGGCGAGTGTGCTTACAGGAATGCTGACCGCTCGAAGAAGGACTTCGACCAGGGCAAAGGTGGATCTACGACTGGTGCTGTGGAGAGTGGGGCCAGCACGGCGATGGACCGACCGCCCTGCACCAGAGAGCTTTGTCACGTTCTACTGGCTGTCAGAAGCTCCCTGAGCAACAAGCCCAGGATGTTCAGAAAAGGATTCCGCATTGTGACCCCAGGCATGCAGGAAGGCGCGAATGGAGCTAGAGACAGGTTGAAAGGGGCTGAGCCCTGATCGGCTTTGATTGCGGCTGGTACCTTGTCGACGGGCTTTGCTTGGGCACAATTCTCCTCGCTAGGCCGGTTTTCCTTGACCCTCATCGACTTCAAGGCGATTTCCCGGACTCTTCCCTTTTCGTTGTCCTTCGTTGTCCTTTGCAACAACTTGCCCAAGCTTGACCTGACCGACTCCTCGACTTTCCGGCGCTGTTTTCGATGTTTGCGCAGCGTTCTGTGAAAATTTCAGAGCTTTGGCAATTTTGAAGATGTTTAAACGATTAGTTTTGAAGCAGACGTTTAAGATATTCCAGGCTTTTCCTTTTTTAAGACTGTTGGAGATTTTTACCCTTTTCCAAGATGCTTAAGATTGTTGAAGACATTCTAAAAAAGGTTTTGTACAAGTTCTAAGTTTTTTATTTTGTGCAGCGGGCGTCAGCGCACTTGCAGTTGTTGCCTGAGCTTCGCCAGGCAATGTCCGGGCGTGTGGCTGCCAGCAGAACTAAGTACCGTGCCTGGCAGATGTGGAGGGTGCGGCGCGCTGTGTGGGCGCTGGGACGGTTGCAGCTATGCCCCCGTGCCATCCAAGACCGGCCTACTCCAGCAAGGTTACCTCCAACTTCATTGTCCACACGGGGCGTTTTTAAGGTTTACTTTGCAAAGCGCAAAGCGCAGGCAACTCCTTGAGAAGGACAATGAAGAGCTGTGATGGACATAAATTGACATAAACCTGGAGAAAGCGCCGCACTACTCCCAGAGCGTGGCCGCTGTGGGGCTGCGGGGCTGAAGGAGAAGCACGGCGCGGGCGTCTCGCCGGGTCTGAGTGTGCAAGTCTGGGCTGCCAGGCGCACGCGCTACACTGGCGTCCTGGTCCCCCCTGCCAAAGCCATCTACAAGATGCTGGGCTGACAAGCGCAATTTGGCATAAGGACCAGGAGGCAGTTTTTCCCGTTTTTGTGTTCGGAATTGGTTTTTGTTGTCTTTGGGTTTGCGAGTGCTCCTCCACTACTCCTCGAGTGCTCTCTGCCCCTTCGCTGCCCATTTTGCGTGCAACTGCTCTAGCGCGCCTTGTGCTCTTCTGCTGCAATCCTCGAGCGCTACTCCAGCGATGTCAAGAAGCACAGGGGATGGGCGGGCTGGGGGAATTGCGGACTTGCGGACTTTCATGAGCACGGTCCGGGCGTCGTGGTAGTGAAGGTGATGCGGATGATGCGGTCGGGCCGCCGGAAACGGCAGTCTCACGAGAAAGTGTGAAGGGGCCTTAGCAAAGAATGGCAAGGTGTTCCAGCTGCCTTGCACGTCCACCCTTTCAGATTGCCCGAAAGAGGAAAAGCGCCCCTGCTGCAGCTTGGCCTTTGCAAGTTCAAAGAAACGCTGGAAACTCTGAGCGCAAAGATCTGAGCGGTGACTTGCGGACCCAGTGCTTCCGCGTGGCTGTGGAGAGGTGCTGCCATTTCGCTCTACTCAGTATTTCACTGGCAAGCTTGGTTCTTAGCCCCGCCTTCAAAGAGCAACGCGGCCAATAGTTGCGAGGGGGCTTTGCCGGGCGTTGCGCAGGTTTGCGCAACACATGCTTTACCAGAGTTAGCTGAGGAGCCGGCTTTGCGCCATGACCTTAGCGCTCCTTGTTGACCACAAGCCTGTAAGGCCATGAGGTGTTGGTGTGTTTTTGTTGATATTCTACAAGTCCAACTGTGTTAGCAATCTGTTCTTTGAAAAACTGGGAAGGTCAGAAAGCACCCTGCTCCAGACTCTTGCGTCCGAGATTGGTGCCTTCGTTGGCGAGACCTGCCAGGGCCTGGGCTTGACGGAGGCTGGAGCCTGTTCAGGTTACATCCAAGACAAAGCTATTGTGTCAACAGCTTGACGCTGGACTATGTCGCAACTCTTTATTCCCAGCAAAGATGAGACGCTCGGAGCCTCGCTTCTCTCCTGACTTGAGCAGCAACTGGTTCAAACTTAGCGCCGGTGCCGCAGCGGCTACCGCTTCACAGTCTGTTGGCTTCATGACCGGCTTGGTTGCCGGAAGTGTTCCGGAGGTGCGTATGGACATCCAGGACGTCATTGGCTGCGTTCCTTGGAGTTTTGCAAGACTTACGGAACCAGGACTTGGCTGCCTTTTTCATGGACAACAGGGTCTTGCGGGTTCTGGCTGGGGGCACCTAGTCGCCATTTTCAGCGCAGGACACACGTTGCTTGTAGGGGTTCCTAGCCTGAAGTAGACGTATCGTAGCCTGTCTGGCTCCTTAAGGCACTTGTGACCAGACCTCGCGCCAGGGCCTTGGCAAGACGCAAGCGGCTTTTGCAGACAAATTTGCTGGGGCTGTAAACCTTTCCGGCCGGAAAACCTTGGAGCTGGATCAGGCATGTTGTCAGACACCTTTTGTTTGCCCAGTCTTGCAGAAAGGTGGTAATTCGATCTTCCGAACTTCTTCAATGGTTCACGGGGGAGGGAACCTAACCTTGTGAGGCCAATTCATTGTTATTGTTATTGTTGTTGGTACCAATGTCAAGGTCCAGAGCGAGGCCGCCCCGCTCATTCTGCAGGCGAGTGTTAAGCTTCACGCGCTGCTGGCGTTGAAGCTGCTTAAAAGGCAAGGTTGGCAGCCCCGCCGATCCTCCCTAGAAACAACAATAATCGACGATCAAGCAATAGTCAGCTGCCCAGCATGCTTCATTGCGCAGTGGTGGCCATCAGTTTCCCCGGCACGTAACGAGGCAGCCAAGCAGCTGGCAGATGAAACGGGGTACCGCGCCGACTTCCAGCCGCTTCCTCGTGTTCCGGAGCCAGGTCAACCTAGCTAGATTCCATGGGATTCGTTTCATTGTGCCCCGCAGCGACTGCTACATGAACGGTGTGTTTTTGCGTAAACTTTTAGGAGAGGACAGCGCCCAAATTACACCCTGAACTGTGCCCCCGCATTCTGCCGTTCTGTTCCACGCTAATCTTAGCGGCTTAAGAGGGGTCAAATTTTGGCATGGCAAAGCACTCCTGCACGCATTCCTTCCTTGGCGCCTGACTTGCCGGGCGCTGGTTGGAAGAAGTTGGTTGCAGGGAGCGGCGCCTGGCTTGCACCCGGCGCCCTGGAAGATCTTGCTTGCCGGGACCTGGCGCCTGGCTTGCCGGGGCCCGCCTAGCTTGCCGGTACCCGGCGCCCTGGAAGAACTTTGTTGCCGGGACCCGGCCTAGCATGCCGGGACCCGGCGGGCCACGGTTGCCGGGACCCGGCGCCCAAGGATAACTTTATTGTCGGGACCCGGCACCTGTCTTGCCGGGACCCTGCGGCCGACGACCCGGCCCAACCAGAACTTCATTGCCGGGACCCGGCGCCTATCTGGCCGGTAATCGGAGCCCTCAAGAACTTTTTTGCCGGGACCCGGCGCCTAATCCCAGCTTGCCCAAACCCGCTAGCTGGAAGATTGAGGGGATCCGGCGCTGCGGGCGCAGGGACCCACTCAAAGTACTTGGCCTTGCTAATTGTTGTTTGTTTGGTTTGTCATTTTTTGCACATTCAAAGTGTTGAATGGGACCCAGTTGTTTTTGAGTAGGTTCGCTGGCCAGAATCAATCAAGACACTGTAAGTTAGAGCACTCTCGTCAGATGACGGGGGCCGCAGTCGTAGCCGGTCGTCGTCGTCCTCCTCATCATCAGACGGGCCCCCCGAGTTCATTTTCCACGAAGCCCCCTTGGCGCAAATTATGATTTGTCTGTTTTGTTTCTCCGTTATGTTTTTTGACTTGCCCGGTTCATTGAATACACACCAGTGACGTGCTCAGGTTGGCAGAGCGGGTTTCCTGGCAAGCCGGCCGTGGGAAGTCGTGCGGGTTGACATTAGGGACAACGCAATGACTCTGACATAATGGCCAACGACACAGACGGGGACAGCGAAGTTATGACTGTCAGCACGATCGACCCCGGGACATGCTCACCTCTTTCGGGCATTGAAGGCACCAACAACAATAGCAGCAACGACGACGAAGACAGTTCCATGATAGAGATTGTGGAGAGCGAGGGGTCCTGGATCATTTTTCACCAACGATGACAACTACACTGACAAGAAGATGTGTCAAGCGATGACGGTGGCTCTGACTCAGACATCTGATCTGGGCTCGCGGTGAGTTTAGTCTTGAAATCTGAAATACTTTTGTGCGTGTGACAGGGTGCCTGTAGCAGCTGCAACTCTCAAGCATCCTATCTCACGTGGCAAACAAGTGTTTGATGCATTCAGCAGTCGTTAAAATTATGTGTTCATGGCCAAATTGGCACAGAATTAAAATTAATTTGGAGTTGGGCCTGGCGCGTGACCAAGCTGATTGGCCGGCTGCCCCGGTATCTTTTTGCATGAGCGGCCTGGCGCTTGCAAAATAAAACAGCAGCTGGAGAGTGTGGGGCCAGTGAGGGTGCACACGGCTATGAATGCATGTCTGCTCTCCGCAACAAGCGTGAAACCCAACGCAGGCGCAAATCATGTTTTCTTAGTTTGGCTAACGTCAATCATGCAAACAACAGTTTGTTGCGCATCTTGCATTCCATCGCATGTGGCTGGCAAGACATGTCAGGGACATGTGCGATGCCTTGGAACTCAAGGGTGGGGTGAACCTGATGTGTTTTGCAAGAAAGGAAATCACTGCCAACAAGAACCTGAACTCTGGTCCCTTCGACAAACTGAGGATGTATGTTGAAACTGATTGTTATTGACCACAACCAATCCAACCAGAAAACAAGCAGCGTTTCATGCTGAGGGAAGTTTTAATTCTCAGGGATTGTGTGTCGCGAGGCAGCCATAATCGGCGGGACAGGCCATTTTGCTGAACATAGAATCTGCTCAGACCGTGCGGTTGCTGCAGCATTGTGATTTGCAACCGCCGCAGGCTCACGCTGTGCCGCTCAGTAGTTTTTTGTTCGCTGGCGGTTGTGCCAGGAGTGTGACGGCCCACCCATCCGATTTGCCACCCCGCGGTATCCGGAGATCAAGATCACCGTGAGGGACGTGCCCACGATTGGTGACAAAACCCTCATGGGCAAACACATGGATAGCATAAAAAGGGCCTTGCAGACGAACATTCGCTGCAAGGGTTTCGCAATCTGCACCGAAACGAATTGCAAGCCAGATGAGGGCTTCAAGCGTCTAAGCTGCAGAAGTGTTGGTGTTTGCCATTGTGTTAAACTTGGTTTGCAAGTCATGGCGCCACGCAACTAGGGTCTGCTCCTGGTTGGCTCACAACGGCATTCACTTGCAGCTTGCATGTGTGTTTAGCTGTCCCTTGTAAACTTGTCAAGTTTTCCACTCTGTGGCAAACATGTTTGCAACTGACACAATTTCTGAGTTCCTTGCAGCCTTTATTGGCCAAATCCATCGCAGGAGTGCAGCGGGCGTGACGACGACAAGGGGCAAGCTCGAGGGCAATAGCAAGGCAATGCCGGCCAAGGGCAAGGACAAGTCTTGGTCGCCCAATAAAGCTCCGAACTTGCCCAGCTAGTCCGGACACTGGTAACGGTTGCAGCGACTGGTGATCTTATCTGATGGCGCCGTCACTGGCAGCGGTGGCAGCAGTGGGGCAATGACCAGCGGATGAAGTTTGAATGAAGACAACAATAAGAAGACTCTTGCCCAGAGGTTTGTGCCCTGGCAGTGTTTCCATTGTAACATAGGAATCGGGGCACTTCCCCCGACTAACCCGCAAAGCCAGAGAAGGAAACAAGCGCTGGGCAGCGCGCTGATGCGCACAGCCATTTCCAAACACGCCATTGCTAGCAAACAGTTCCTCATAGTAAGCCTCAGTTTAACCCACCTCTTCAGACTTGCAGCTACCAGCATGTGATCGATTGAGCGCTTTGTTGATCAGTCATGATTTGAAAGACAGTGCTGAGCGGTTGCTTAGTGGTCACTTTGTTCCCTTGCCCCGACTGCGCGTGGCCATGTTATCAAGATCTCACAGAGGCCAAGTGGCAGCATGTCATGAAACCTGCCAGCTTGCAAGTTTTGCAGCTCAAGGTCCATAGCCATTTGTTAAAACATGCCAATCCTGATGCAAGGCAACAAATCCATTAACCCAACAAACCAAAACTAGCCAGTCAGTGACGACCTAGCCGAAACCAGTCTTCAGCCATGGATCCCTGGCCTGTCAGTCCTGGCAGTCCTGGCAGCCTCAGCAGTGGCAGTTGGCTGGGTCCACTTGGTGAGGCCGCTCAAGATCAACAGGTTAATCAACGTCAATGGGAAGTGTTGGGTGACGGCAGCGACATGGGCATTGGACAGCCAAGCGCAGTGACCCCAATGCCTGCGTCACTTGGGGCGTCGCTTTCGCCTTAACCTGCAGTCCTCCTCCTGCTGCTTCACTTGAGCGGGTGTCAAAATCAGCGGAGGTGGCTTCGGCTTGCGGGTATTGGCGGCGGCCTGTCACTGCTCAGCCGCTGGGGCTGCCGGGCTAGCGGCCGTGGACGGAGGCTCAGGCTCCTCCGCTTGTACAACTGGTTCCACCAAGCCATGCGGAGCCTTGCCTTGCTCATTGAGTGTTCTCAGCCACTCAAACTCCTCTTCTATCAAAGACTTCTGGCTGTTCCCAATCTCCGCTTTCAATTCGTCCGTGGCCGCCAACTTTTCCTGCAAAACCACACACAACAAACTCATGTTTGGCGAGCGTGAACAAATAGAAAACAACTGACAAAATAGCATGGCTTAAAAAAAAACCCTGTCCTCCAGGAAGCTTCTCGACGGGTCTTGTCGTCGTCTTGTTTGCCACGAACATTCGGGTCTTGAGGCAACTCCGTGAAGTACAGGATCGGCTTGCTGGCTTGCGTGTGTATTTCGTGAATTTCGCAGCCTCGAGCAAGCCGGCATCCTCCTGGTAGTCCCTTGTAAACAAAGGCCAAGTGACTTGGAGACACCCATCCATCCAGAAATCGTGATGTTGCCGACCGATCATTTCTTGAGAATGCGCCCAGCACGTTTCGCCTTCGCTGGACCCCGCCGGTCCGACGAGAGAGTGAGGCAGCTAAAGCCTCATTCCGCCGAGCTTCCGGGATGTGCTGATTTGCTTTTGGAGCATCGGCTGCGCTTTGCCGTCGGAGATGTCGTTGGCCTCATCAACCAGCTGAACGTACAGCAAAACAAGCCTTTGAGGGCCATTGGCATCCAAGAGAGCATGCTTCCTGGAGTTCACATCACGTATGCAACGTGCTTCAAACGATCTTTCCAAATTGAATAATTTTTGTACAAGCGCCGGCTTCGGGTGAACTTCGTCATCACTCTTTATTCCAGGACGATGCCGGTGGTTGCAGCAACATGGTGGAGACGAAGTACCCGAGCGTGGTCGTGACGCCCCCCAACAGCCAAGAAGGCGGCCCGCGGTCAACCTTGACGTGGACAACGTTTTGGACGCGGACAGCAACCGAAGCATTCTGGGCCACCTGGAGCGCGGGAAATTGTCGCCAATTCCAGCGGCATTTGGGTCTGCCTTCTCAGGTTGGGCGGTCGTCAGGAAAGATGGTGCAGCCAGCAAACGTGCCAAGACCAGTGACAAAGTTCCCAGCACCGGAGACTGTACCCCGTGTCACATTTCGAATTGTCACATTCGGGCTGCGCTTTTGCATGCAGAATTTTGGGGCGACCGACATGGAATTCTGGGTTCGATGCCCGTGCGTTTTCTGATGACGTCGGGGGCTGGGAGGGACCGCCTGGGGTCGCATCTCAGCAACATGCAAGGCATAGAGCGAAGTCACCTGCAGTTCGCAAACAGTTTGAAGCTGCTGAGTGACGCCGCC